CTCCGACTAATTTTTTTTACTAGTATTACTTATAATATGTTTCTTGCCCCGACTTCTTTTTTAATTTTAAAAACAATAAGTACAACTTAAGGTTATTTTAAGATGAAGTGTTAAAATAAATAAAAAAGTATTTTCAGAAAAAGTAAAAAAAAATGAAATATAGAATAAAAGGGGATTAATGAGTCAATGAGACAAATGAGCATCTAGTCTAAGGCTAAGTAAAAAAAAACGGGCATAAGTAAAAAAATGAAAAAAAAAACATTTCTAAAGCCCAAGCCACCTAGACAATCCTAAAGCCTAAGCCCAAAAATGAAAAAAATAACAATTCAAAACGTAATCACTAAAATCTAAAGCCATTAAGTGGGTTAAAAATTCAAAGCTTCATTAACAAAAGACCTAGGCAGTCGGCAGTCCCTTCCCACTCCGCCAAAAAAAATGAATCGAGCAGTTGAGAACGCAGGCAGGCAGCGAACGTGAGAACTGAGAAGCAGCATCGCCCGCTCCCTCTCCGGCTTTACTCCCCAACAGAAATCTACCTTCCTTCTCCAGTTAGTTCTCACTTCTCCCCATTTGTTCTCAGATTCTGCAATTTTCAAGTAAGTTTCTCATCTGCCAATTTATGCCCATATTAATTATTTGCTCTCATCCCTAACGAAAAGTCAAAAATTATTTGTGTGAATCCTCAAATCTCAGTTCTAGATGCAATTTAATGCTATTTGTATAAGGAACATTTTTAATTCATACTTATTTTTGTTATATTTAGGAGTATGAGTTTGGATAAATTTGTAATTAAGACTAAGAGGTCTTTGATTGGAGGTGTTAGTTCTTCAATTGTTCCTAATCAGTCTATCTCTAGTGTTGAAAATGCCACTGCGTCAAATGAAAATATTGCTAGAGATGAGAGGAATGAGAGGGACAAGAGAGCCCGAACAGAAAGTACACATGAATGGGATATTATTAGTGATCCATTTTTACGAAAACCAATTAATGAATATGCGCCGGGGATTAGGGATGATGTGATGAGAGCATATGTTGTTAAAGGTGCTTGTCAACCAGCATCTCATAAGTTTCCACGAACTGAATTTGGTAAGACATTAAGGAGCTTTCGAGGAGAGTGGTTTAAAACTTGGGAATGGTTGGAATATAGTATTTCTAAAGATGCCGCTTTCTGTTTTTGGTGTTACCTTTTTCATGGGCATGAAGGAAAGAGATTTGGTGATGATGTGTATGTGAGGACCGGATTCCGTAATTGGAAGAAAGCTCCTGAAAAATTTAGAGATCATGTTGGTATTGTATAGAGTGTGCACAATGATGCTAGAACACAATTTTTTGCTTTCAAAAATCAAAAATAAAGTATTTCAAGAAGTCTCTCTTCAGGAACACAACTGTTGGACACGAACTTTAAAATTTTTAGTCTTTGGTTTGCCCCTCCTTGGACAAACCTCTGACTCTGCCACTGACCCTAATGGAATTCATTATTGGCTGTTACTGAGCCACTTCATCATTGTTGTAAACCTTTAGCTAACATTGCACTGACCATGGCCGGTCCCGAGAAAACGGAGGCCCTGTGCAACAATAAAATTTGGGCCTTTTTTCAAGATTGATCAGGTATTTCAACATTATTTTCAACATTCACTTCTTGTTGTTCACCCTCTTGAACATCTCTAACTTCTTTAATAATAAACTTATCAAGAGCTCCTTTTTGAGATTGGGTTAACTCCTCAAGTCTTCTATTCCTTTGACGCTTTTCATGACCGGATTGGTATTTATATGGAAACATAATTATTACCAATTATTGAAATTCTCCTATAATCCTGTACATGTTTATAAATTTTAAATTAATATTAAGTTTAAAATTAGGGTGAAAGCATGATTTACTTTAAATGTAAAAAATCAACAAATAACAACACAACAATTCAACAAACATTAAATCTGAAAATAAACAAATTACAAGATTTCAACAAACAATTCATCAATTCAAATATTCAATGAATTGAAATTTCACAAGAATTAGCAAATTAGCAACTAAATGAATAAAAATTATAAAAGAATTAGCAAATTAGTAACTGACCGGAAGGACGGCGTCTGAGGGAGGCCGGAGGGCGGCACCGTGGCGGAGCCGTGTCGGACTGCGCGCAGTTGAAGTCGAGTCGTGGTCCTCGTTCCTCGACTCCTCGTGGAGACTGGAGAGCAGCCGACTGCCGAACGGTGTCCCTTTGCTGGTGTGGACGGCGGTCTGGCGAACTGGGCCGAGTGGCGCGGCGGCGTGGCGGACCGGCGGGCGGCGGTGTCCCTTGACGAGTTGACGGCTTGACTCCCTTTGCGGCTTTGCCCCTTTGGCTTTTGTCGGGAAGACGCGAAGACGGACTCACGGAAGACAGGACCAGGGGAAAAGACCGAAGACGGATTTGAGGATTTTGAGGGCTGGGGAATTGATTTGGGCTAAAAACAAAATTTTTGGGCTGGGTAATACTGATTTTTTTTTGGGCCCTCCAAAATACCGGGCCCTGTGCGATTGGGCTGGGCAGACAGGCCCAGGGCCGGCCTTGGCACTGACAATCTATGTAGTAACATTTAATTTTTCTTTTGATTTTAATATTACGCGTAAAATACATATATCTCAAAATAAATATTTAAAGGAGAAAATAATTAAAATACCCCAAACTTTGAACGGGTGTGAGATAAACACCCCAAACTTACATATGTAATTTAAATACCCCAAACTTTGTATAAAAAGTTATTCTAACATCATGGTCATGAATAATTTCTTTCAAGCTTGATAAATTTAGCATTCATAAAGATACAATTAACATTCTAAGCTTCCATTGTAAAATAAATAGTATTACCCACCACTATATATAACTATAATGTTTTCAATTTTCTATTTTAAATTATGCATTTAACACCATAAATTTACATTTTTGAAAGAAATTACACATGACCATGGTGTTAAAATAACTTTTTATATAAAGTTTGGGGTATTTAAATTACATATTAAAGTTCAGGGTGATTATATCACACCCCTTCAAAGTTTGGGGTATTTTAATTACTTTCCCCATATTTAAAATATTGCACTAAAACTCTAAAAGTTGTAAAAAAAATCATTCCATTTATTAGTGTTATATTGACTATCGTCTCGAGTACTATCTCTTCATTTACCATTCTCTCAGGTACTACCGCTTTAGTTATTACCGCTTCTGTGAGTACTGTCCCAATTACAACTGCTCAAGTGACTATCGTTCCGGTTACCATCACTCAAGTGACCACCGTCTCAGTTACTACCGCCTCAGTGACCACCGTCTCAGTTACTACCACCTCAGTGACCACCGTCTCAGTTACTACCGCCTCAGTGACCACCGTCTCAGTTACTACCGCCTCAGTGACCACCGTCTCAGTTACTACCGCCCCAGTGACCACCATCTCAGTTACTACTGCTTCAATAACCAACAATACAATGACCAAATACCCGGCCAATTACACTTACCTAACACATCGGTTGGAGTTACCTGACCCATCAGTTACAGTTACTCGACTCACTAATTACAATTACCTAACCGGTCAGTTACAGTTACCTAATCCATCGGTTACAATTACACATCAGTCAATTACAATTATCCGACTCACTAGTTACAACTACCCAATTTGACTATTTATATATAGTTATCAAAATTACAGTTACCAGGTCCTATAAGGACAACCACCCCTAGTCCCCAGCCCCAGCCATATTCCCTGCCCCGGTCCAGCCACTTCCCCAACCCTTCCCAGCCCTTCCCAACCCCCTCCCAAACCTCTATACAACCACTGCACCCCACCCCTGCTCCTCGCACACTTGCAACAGGCCAACGATGGAGAAGAGCAGCGAAATGAACCACCGCCTCGCACACTGGCTATGGGCCAACGATCGAACAAAGGGAATAGAAGAAGTGAAGATTAAAGTGGAGGCGGCGGCGGAGATGAAGGATTAAAGTCGGAGGGGCGCAACGTCAGCCATAGAGATGACAGCGGCGGTGACCCCACTGCTAAAGAAGAAACTAACATTGAGGTAGGATGTGTGTCGATGTTGTGCGATTGGGGGGAAAAAGAAACGACGAGAGAGCTAAATAGCTGAATAGGATTAAGGGTACAAGGGTCCATTTTTTATCATAAAAGAGCGATCGTTATATTAAAATCAAGAACACATACAAGACAATCTTCAGACATAAATTACAGATCCAATCGTGAACCCTAGGAGTAGACTTAGAGTCAGCCACCTCATACAAAGCAACATGACTCGCTAAACCTAAAATGGGCAAATTTATGCCTAAAACGAATGGAACCGAAACTCTGCCTATCAAAAGAACTCCAAAAATCCAAACATTCAAACCAAATCTACTCGGACTGAAAAGAAAACAATTGCAAGTAAACAGGAAATAATACTGAAATAAAAATTTTCCACAAAGCATTCCCTGGTATAGAGGTGGTTCCGAAGGAGGACTAACTCTTGCAATATGGGTGAATACCAACTCCACCACCACCGGAATGGCTGACCAAGGCTTCGCGATCCAATCTCAATACAACCTCTCAGCCGCACTTCGTTCATCCGCCAACGCTATCTCCTTCGACGTAGTTGCAATACCAAGCGTTGGAACACTTAAAATCAGTATAATCTATCGCTCCAACCCCATATTGATAGTGGCGGCGGAAAATCTCAACCCCTACAAAAAGGGGAGACGACCACTATGGTTTCTCTCTAGAGAGTACAAGGGTCCATTTATTAATAATTAGTGTCTTTTTTGTCTAATTTTAGAACTGGTCTTATTTTTGCCGGTGTCGAGACAAGTAGTTATTTGAATCGGAGTGGCGTGGGTCAGAGATGGCCTCCACAGTTGACACCACTTACCAGAATTTGGCCTTTAAAATCAGCACGAAAGGTGCTATTTTTAGAAAATCTCGCATCTCGCAAACAAATAAACAAGAAAGTAACGTTAGAACTTGGAAATAAAGCAATCCAACACCCATCAAATGACTAACTAATCCTTCGCATTTACTCACGCCCAGTGGGTTGAAACAAAGATATGCCATTTAGGAGGGCAATTTTGTACAATTACACGTGACTGTCAGTACTCCTAATCTCACTGAGTTAACATATAGTTGCAATATTCAAAAATCAACATGCAGATTAAGAGTGTGGAAGAAGAAAACTTTTGCATTTACAACTCCTCATACAACATAAACCATACCGACCTCAAGAAGAGACACCGGCGGAACCTTCAGTGACACATCAGGTCCCCTACAGTTCCTCTTGAGCAGATTATACCCAAAGTTTATGGCCAACCTCTTGAATATGGATGAGCCTTGTTTGGTTCTCACGTGTGAATGCCCAAGTATGAACGCAATCCCCGCTTCCCGTGCTTCATGAAGGTCTCTTAGCTCCTCGTGCATCTGCATGTCCATATCGAGATGCTGGTCGGCTTCCGAATCATCCACATCAAACCTCACCTGCCTCTGAGCCCCTCCACCCGTCGTCGGTCGCATCTCGATGACGTCTGTTATGCTCTCCACGGTTGGGAAACCGACGGATACGCTCTCGGGTTGGGCAGTATCGTCGATCTCGAAGCCGGGAAAAACCATCGTCCCGATCACTGCCAACCGGCACTCGCCCGATGAAGCGGCTGACCCAGACCTGCCATCGTCGTCGGGCGAGCTGACTATCCCGTGGGTCCTGTACCAGTCATACCGAATGAAATCGGCAAGCTTCCTTACAAGCTCGGTCTCAAAGAAGTCAACGTCTTGGTGAACGTCCCGGTACCCGTATCGCACAATGCACCTGTAGGAACGGTGGGAGGCAGGTCCCACACGGCCCACGAGGTAACGCTCGGCCGGTGGGATGAAGGGGACGGGGACAGCCTTCACACAGACGAAAACAAGGACACGATGGAAGGCTGGGAGGTTGGTGACAAAACGCGAGAAGTTTGCCGGGATCCCTGAAGTCAAATCACTAAAGACGATTCCAATCCCAGGGACCCGCGCGATGCCGAGGCTGGGACCCAAAGCCAAGAGCCACTCAAGGGAGACTTTATTGTGGAGGTCAAATTCATACTTCTTGATGGTGGCATAGTGCCAGACAAACATGACAGTTACCAAGATGAGGGCAAGAAGTATAGGGAGCCAAGCGCCTTCTAGAAACTTAATGACAGAGGCAGAGAAGTAGAGCAATTCAATAGAGCCGAAAAAGACAAGAAAACAGAGGGCGAGAATAGGAGGTTTGTGCCAACAAAGGATTATGACCAGTGAGGTGAGACATGTGGTTACCAGCATGACCGCCATCAATGCCAGGCCTGCAACAGATATAAGCAGATCTATATTTTAAGAGAAATTATAAATGAATAAACAGACTTATTAACTGTTTTTGAACAGCTTATCATATGTTAAGAGAGATTATAAATAAATATTAGGCCTTTGAAGCTGTATAAAGAGACAATAAGATCATGGAGGTACTACTGTCTTTGTTCCACAGTGCGTTCAACATTAACCAACTTAACATTCTAGCACACGTATTAAGAACAGATTTGGTAAAACATTTATTGGGCTTGTAGTCAGGTATTTCAGTTTTCACCAAACACGAACTTATTTAAATGCGCTATGTAAATGAGAATGAAAAGAAAGAGTGTACAAGAGTTATTTTCATTGTCTAAGATTGGTGCAATTAAAGAAACCCATTAATTTTTTATCTTCTATTTTTGATAGATTAATTTTTCATCTTCTCTTTTGTACTTTTCACCTCTCCTTTTTCGATTGTGTCTACTGCTTGTGTGACCCTACAATTTTACTCTTAAACTCAATGAAAACCATTAGATGCATAAAAAATTGGAAGGCTTGTTTTTTCTTTAATTTATTTAAGGAAAACATTTAGAATACATTTTACATAATTAAGAAAATTCCACTATTTCAACCAAATTTTCAATAGATTACTCATTTTAGGTCTTAGAAGCTAATCAAATATCTTCAATGCTGTTAAAAACATTACTCTGCCTAAACTGCCGTTAACTAAATAACTAATATCTTCTCTTGGAACAATTAGAAATTACTTTAATTAGAGATGGAGAAGTCAAGACTAGAATGCAGTCTAGATTCTATGAAGTGGTAGATATTGTGGAACAAGAGATTATGAACCAGCAAAAGCACAAAAGCACAGTTATTGTGAAACAGAGGGAGTATCCACACATTTATATTAAGTCCTTAAATAATGTATTCTGAAATGTTGAATTAAGTCATCGGGAGATACCTGAAGCATTTCCCAAATGTTTGGTGTCTCGGAAACCGATAGTCACAGCAACACAAAGGACCATAAGTATCCAATTGATCTCTGGGATGTACACCTGCCCGTGTATATTATTGGATGTGTGAACCACCTTGACTCTTGGAAAGCAGCCCAATGAAAGACTCTGGTTGATGATAGAGAAAGTCCCGCTTATGATCGCCTGACTTCCCACAACTGAAGCTAGAATGGCTACAATAAGAACCGGCCACCTCACCCTCTCTGCATTCAACCCCAGGTTGCACAATTTCATTTCACAAAGAGTTCTCAAGATTTGAGGGTTGTCCAATTCACTGATTAAGCTGTTCATTAATTTATGTATGGGAGAAGGAACAGATATGCCAGTATATTTCAGGAAGAAAACACCGTTCAACTTCTTTTTGAAACAATTTAACACAGAAAATATAAACAAATACTCCCTCCGTTCCTAAAAATTCTTCCCGGTTTGACTTGGCACGCTTATTAAGAAAGTGGAATAAAGTGGAAATGTATGGTTGTGGTTGTGTAAGAAAAAGGTAAAATGAATGTGAGCCACACAAATTGTTCAAAATGGGAAAGTGGGAAGTATTTTTGGGAACAGCCCAAAAAGGAAAGTGGGAAGTATTTTTGGGAACGGAGGGAGTACTCTCTTACACCAAAATTTCCATTATTTGCAATGGAGCCAAAGACTCTGTTTTTTGGCTTGAGAATATGATGGAATAAAGCAAAATGGCTCAGTAAACTGTATGTGCTTCTTTGTTATGAAGTACCAGTCAGTCGACTCAGTCCATGCAATTTTGGACGTGGTTTTCACTACGGGTCATCCGGAAGCAGTCTCTTTGTGCTTTAGTACAGGGGTAAGACTGCGAACATCCGAGCCCCCCTTACCCTACCGTAGGTGGGAGGGAGCCTTTGCGGCACTAGGGTAATTATAATGATGACTGTCTTATACCAATATAGTTGAGGCCTTGCGGGTATATATGTTCTCTGAAATATAGTTCAAGGATATATAAGTTCCAACTATTAAATAGTTTTAAAATATTATGAGAATCTGCTATCTCCGCCCCCCCAAAAAAATGTTGTTTGTAATATTGAAATCTGTATTACATGAAAGACTTTTCGGTTGAGGAAGTGTCAATATTAACAATGATCAGTTTTCTACTCAACTAAAAGGTGAATAGCTTTTAGCCTGCAAGTATTATTTTCTAGCTGAAAAGGTACAAATTAATACCGGGAACTGACAAATAGAAACTGATTTCATGCATGTTGTGGTGATGCATTGATAAATAGGCTGCTTGACCCATATATCCCAAAATGAGTGCTGGATAAACCAGAAAGGTGAATGCAGTCTGGAGCAGGGAAAGATGAAGTTAGAACAATTCCACATAAAATTTAAATTGCATTTGGCAAAAAAACTGAGAAAAAATACCTGAATTGCAGCATATGAGAAGTGGCCGAGGTCAGCAAACATTGCTTCTGCTCCTGCAATATCGCAAAACAAAGAAAAAGGGTTTCATGTTCACTATTAAGCTCAGATTATTTTAGATAGAGGAAAATATTTTCCCTATTCTTTAAGGGTCCACACGAGACACTGAAAATGCTAGGAAAAGAAAATATTGAGGAGAATAAAACATTGAGTCACTCAATATATAAGTTTATTTTAATTCAAACTCTTTTTTTTGTAATATAAAAATACTAAGAAACCATAACATATTTAAAAACATTGATCACATTTCATTTTCATTTGTACTTTCTGAGGCAAAACCAAACACAAGAAAATAATTTTCCTTGGCGTTTTGTTTCCATTTCACTTTTTCCAGGATCCAAACATTGGCTTAATAGAGAGGGTAAATTTGAAGGAAAGAAAACCGTGAAAAAATAACAAAAAAGAGGTTCAACCTCAATTAATCAACTACAGATACTTATTCAAACTAATTAGTAATGATACATTCCTATTTTATAAAGACTCAGAAATATAAATATGTACTCAATTATAAAGTTTAGTGAAATTTGGTTTTTCTCCACGTTTACCAAGTTATAATCAAACATTAAAAAGACTATTTCCTTGGTAACTTTTCCCTTTCCCAACCATGTTCCGCAATCCAAACATAGCCGGAACTTATCTGGAAAACGACTTCTCAATCCGCATTCTAAAAGCAGGAAATCAATTACTTCAAATGGCTTTGCTTTTTCTGATTTGCGGGTCAAACATTATTAAGTTATATATACAATTAGTTTACTTTCCAAAATTACAAAATATTCAAGTCAAGATTTTCTAGCCAGTTAAAGATCATAAAGATATTCAAGCATGTTAGAGATATCCAAGCTAGTTTGCAATAAATTACATTTCGATATGTTCCACAGAATGTAGTACTCTATAACATGTGAACATCCAAATCTTGAATATTTTACCTGTTATGCACAAGAGAATTCCACCCAATGACATCCATCCACCTTCTCTAGTCTTTTTCAAGAACTTGAACATGTAATATGGGGAAAGTGCCTTGTAAACGTGTGGATTCCATTGGAAGATATTGTACACCCCAAGTGTGCTTATGCAAAACAACCACGACAGCACGATCGGTGCAAAGAAAAAGCCAATTCGATGTGTGCCATAATGTTGCAATGCAAATAGGCACACTAATATGAAGCAAGTTATAGGCACGACCGCATCTGAAAAATGTAAAACTCCCATATTTTATTAATAAGGTTAGGACATCGATATAAAGTACACTAGGGGCATAAATAGGGGGCGATCCTAGCCCGTGTTCGCCCAAGTTCCATAAAAGCTTTTTTGTGTGTGAATATATATGGATACAATTTTTCCTAGGTTCACTTCAATATTTGGGATCTTGACTATGCCAGTAACATAAACCATGACCAGTCTTTGATATCATTTTGAATTTAAATATAAGCTATAAGACAAATGACATATCAGTGTCAGAGTATAGGTCTAAAGTTTAAAAACATAGACAATAAGGCTCATGCTTCTATCACATTGTCTGGTGAGATTCAACTTGGTAATCTATTGAATCATAGAAGCATCTGTACCATTTTCTTTCATCTTCTCCATGACGACGTTAGCATTATGTTATGTGGGATGGAATTGCCAACTTTTAAGAGACTTTCGCAAATCTCCTAATTCCCAACTTTTTTTATCCTAAACATGGGTATGAAACCCCTAGGAATCAGAAGCCATTCCAAATATTAATTATTGAGGAATTCAGCTCCTAACAGGCTAACAGGCAGAAAAATCACATAAAGAGAGTCACACACTCGTTGAGAAACAGGTGTGAGAAAAAAAAGGTTTTGATATTGAGGTAATAAAAATCTTACATTGGTGGTGATCCTTGGACATGAAGAACTCAAGCCCAGAAACCGCAGAGAAAACTACAGAACATTATCATTTTGCATCAGTCGTAACACAAAAAGTGAAAAAAAAGGATACTCCATTCTAAATAAATAATTAAATAAACAAAAAATAGTACCAGATATGGCTGGAGTAAGCAATCCATCTCCAATGACCATACAAGTGCCGATCAGCACCAAGATCAGTAACCCTGTGTGCAGAAACTTGTACTTCTCAAGCACCATTTTCACCCTTGATTTATCATTCATCTCGGGAGGTTGTTCACACTTATATGTAGAAAGTGCTTCATCAGAAACTTGTCTGTTTGGAAGAACACTGACTTTTGCATGCCTACATATCAAGGAATACAGAGCAAAGGTACCACCTGCAACAACATAAAAGATTTTCTTAGAACATCTGAATTTCTATGGAATGGAGAAAGGAAAACAAATAATAAGGAAAATTAGTGTTATGTTTAGTTAATTAAAATTTGTTCACATGTTTGTCTAAGTGATTATATAATAGATATACATAATAAATAAAATATGATTACTTTTTAAAATTTGTTCAACAGTTTTGATTTCAGCAGTCCATATTTTCTTTTCTTAGGACTCCCAGGTTCGAAACGTACCATAAAAGCTCTAGATTTAGAAAAAATAAGAAATTGTTTTGATTGTAAGGTGAGGACATGATATTATTGAATTCGATAAGTGAAGAAAATTACCTTCTCCATTGTCATCGGCTCGAAGTACTATAAACACGTACTTGAATAGAGGGAGAAGAGTTAAAGTCCAGAAAACAAAAGACATGACACCAAATATTTCTTCATTAGTATCGGAGTGCTTGATGTCTTCTGCAAATGTGCTCTTGAAAACATAAAGTGGCGAAATACTGAGATCGCCATAAACTACACCAAGACTTTGATATGCTAAAAGCAGTGTAGATTTCCAACCATTTTTCTACAATAAGCAATTTAAGAAAGAAGTATCATTTAATGAGTATAATATTAATAGCATCAAATTTGTAAACAATTCTTCTGTGAAAAACAATAAATAAAAATTGGCATTGCAGTGAAACTTTTCAAGAGCTCTTCTGAAATAAACTACAATAATAATCTTATCTTTCAATGTGTACGATAATAGCATCAAATTTGTAAACAGTTTCTTCTAGACTAAACAATTATATTGGAACTTTAAATGGGGAAAATTTCCGAAAGTTATTCTGCAATAAACAATATAAAAACCTTTTTGCAAAAATTGTAATCTGAAGAGTTCAGCACTAAACAGTAAAGTTGGTATGCTATTGTGAGAAAAGTTCCACAAAATCTTCTGCAATAAACAACAATGAAAAACAATTTGCAGTGTGTACAATAATAGCATCAAAATTGGTAAAATCTGAGTGGTAATCCTAACGCAGACCTTTGTTGTGTCCCAGCACTTGGCGTGGTCAAGATCCATATCTTCTCCAAAATCCTGTTCTTGACAACTGGTTCAGCTTCACAAGAAGACTGCTTTGTCAAAGGTGAATGGGATTCCCACAGAATCTTAAATTCTGCAAAGAAAATTCCTTATTTATACCTTCAAGAAAAGAAAAGGACAGAAAGGAAGACATAGTGGCCTAGTGATTCAAGAAGCCCACATGGCATATTCTATCAAATATCAATCTGGACTCTGGAGATTTTGCAAAATGCAGCTCAAGTAACACACTTACAGCTAGCAAACCTAATTCCTTAACTCAACTCTAGCTATGGGTCACTTCAATTTCTTTCTAAGGTAGATTCCATTCTTCGATGGAATTACAAATAACCCCCTCATTTCTTGTTTCCTAACTAAGCAAAAAGATCCTACCTTTGAACATTACAGAGGACTCCGGAGGATGAAGACAAGAAAAAGTACAGAAATGTGTGGATAGTGAAAGCTAAGAGAAGTTGTGTGATTCAACATTTTGTCAAAACAAATCACACCAAAAAAGTTAGAGCCCACAGAAATAAATGCCACTATTTTAGGACACCAAACACAATGATAGGAGGTATACATATGCATATGTATGTATATATTATTAATGTATATACTCAGAAGTATAGGTGTATCCCTAACTGGAGTGAGTGGACTGCCAAACTTCTACCTACCAGTGGGGAGGCTAAAAGCCTACAAGCACAAATTCAGGATAAAGAACAGCACATACATTTTTATTTTATGCTATAATAATCCAAACTGCAATATGGCAAAAAGGTATTCCACTTTTTATCCTGATATTCAGCCGGTGCCTGCCCAAGGTTCCGTTTGGTAGACAACTTTTCCTCATTCGGACTTATGCATTCTTACCAAACGGTTTTCCTTTCTGGAAATAAGCAGATTCAGACCTTACAGGCAAATAAGTCTAACCAAACAGGCCCTAAGTCAGATTAGAACAATGGGTTCCACAAATATGAGCTAGGCTGATGAAATTGACCAAGAAACATCAAAAAAGTAACCTATTGATATTTGATAGTGTTGGACAATCTCAAAGACAAAGATCTTCTTCCGCACTCATTCATTGGACTTGCTTTGACTCATTATCTCATTCAGTTGACCGCCACAGTTTCCGAAATACATCTATACAAGGTTAAAAATTGTCATGAAAAAGCAATAGCTTACCAGAAACTGCGAGGTGGGTTGAGCTTTATTGGAGCTCAAAACAGTGCAATAATGGCTGTTCCGTTCAAGAAGAACAAAACACAGGAACCAAGAAGGGGGGGAAGGGGAAACACAAAAAGGAAAGGGGTTAGAAACACATCAAGAATAGCGGCAGTGAAAAAAGAAGCATGGATGAGGAGTAGAAGAAGTGTGGAGAGTATACATTCTTTATTGAAGGAGTTCCACGTGATAAGAAGTGGGGTCCGTCCTCTATTCTTCAATCACCATTGCTGGGAAAGAATGGTCCCTTTCACAGTTAATCACAGCTTCAACGTTTTACTCCGTAGTAGTTATTACCCCTTTCAAAATACTGTTTCTTTTTCTATCCCTCTTTGCCGCTCAAATCTCTGCAGATTTATTTATTCCTCTGTTTTCCTCCATGGTTAATAAAACCTTCAAGCTTGTGTTTGTGATTCTACAGAAGTTCTGAAGGCAAGTAATAGTGCACATTCTACCCATTCAACATTCTTTCTCACGTGGTTACTGCTTCATTGTCCCAGACTCCCAATCGTCTTTTAATTTAACGACACAAATTTATTATTGTTATTAATAAACGTAACTTTCTAATGGAAGCATTATCTACAAAACAATAAGTACTTTTCCATTTCATTATCCTTTACTTCAATCATTCAATGAGAAAACAATGATTCTACTTGTTTCATTTTATCATTTTCGTTGGTCCAGCAAAAGTTTGTTTTGTATTCTACTCCCTACTTTCCTTAAAATTTTGTCAACTTTCCTTTTTTAAATGTTCCATTAACTTTGTCACTTTCAGTTAGTTCTATCTCATCTGCACAAATCTCAATTACACAGTTTTTACTTTATTAGTCTCTGTGCCGGTCAAACTTGCCAAAGTTTTAAGGGACGGAGGGAGTATTTGATACTCTCTCGGTCCTCGAAAATTATTACAGGTTTGACTTGGATATGAGTTTAAGAAAGTAGGAATAAAGTGGAAATGTGTGGTTGTGGTTGAGTAAGAAAAAAGTAAATGAATGGTAGCCACACAAATCTTTCCAAAAAGAAAAATGAGAAGAATTTTTTGGGACATCCCAAAAAAATAAGTAGGAAGAATTTTTTGGGACGGACGTAGAAACATTTAAATAGTTATGATTCATTTTTATTTTATTCATATTTTACAATTTCAATACTAGTCACATAGTTTCATTTTCTTAATAATCTGCAGACTATTATCGTAATTAATTACTAGTATAAAAGAAAAACAATTGGAAAATGCATTGCTTTGTAAATTTGATGACTCATGAGTTTGGCACATTTGCCAAGTTGTAATGCCTACTTTCCAAATATTGCAACATTAATTTCTTGTAATGTTCAAAAACTCAAGTGTCCATTCCTTTTGGATGACACTGTGTACTCGTTTGGTGAATCTGGTTTTCGACTTATCAGGTTTATCAGCCAACTTTTTAACCAAACATTTAACTTTTGATTTTTTGCGCTGAATTGTGTAATAATAATAAAAAAATTATATTAGAGTTACTTTTCTTGTATTGACTGAAATTACTGTAGATGATCATTTTAACTAATTTTTCATATAATTCTTTCTTTATTTTATTAATATAATATTTTTTAAATATAATTTTTTTCATAAATCAGTGAAAAAAGCATATACAGTCATTTCAACTAGAACTTCATAAATTTCAATAAAAATAATCGATTTCAGTGTTACCAAACGAATTTCAACTATAACTTCATAAATTTCAATAAAAATAATCGATTTCGGTGTTACCAAACGAACCGTATATGCAAGTATGGACTCTTCCATATTTATGAAACTCGAAGTATTCACTTTCACAATTAATTAAAATTCACATTCAATATGTAAAATAGAAAAACATCTTATATCTTACATTCAGCTAAATGATAGTTATTCGACGTTCACATTCTTGACACAACTCTAAAATATCTCTCCAAGAGAAGCAAAAAGCTTCTACCGATCGAGACAAATTAAATATTCACGTACTACGGAGTATGATATTATAATAATTTCTCAAATTCAAAATAAAACACATTTATTAATTATTAGTAGACCGCAAATTATACCGTGGGATCGGTCCACCTTCCGCATGGTGTGCCGATCCCACTTTTTAGGAAAGTTACGTTGTTTTCCTTTTCCCACTTCCTTTGTCTCCAACTTTGTTATTTCCTTTTCCTTTACTTTTCTTTTTTTTTCTTTTGTTCAATTCTTGTCTTTTTCCATCAAATTAAAATACTAAAAATTTAATTGCAATCCTACTTTCTTTATCTTCATCTTAAATTATAATTGAATCTATTTTTTATTCTTTATCAATACATAATAATTCATCTAAAAAAATTCTTTATCTTCATGTTCATAATTTTTTTTCTATAATATATTTCTTTATCTCTTTATAAAAAAATATATTTCTTATCTCTTTGATATGTTTTTAGTTTTTTTAAGACATAAAATTTGTTTTTTCGATTTAAATTTCATAAAACATGAATTACATTACGTTTTTCATATGTGTGAGTTATGTTCATAGCCAATTTATGGAATTACATGTGATATTATATGAAGTTACATCTTTTTATAGGCGAATTACATCTTGTTGTCCATGAGTTACATCTTCTTATACACGAGTTACATTTAGACTTGCCTCAACAAGCTATATTTTGCATACACCTAATTTAGATTTTTTAGCATGAGTTACATGTTTTCATAACACGAGTTACATCACGAAATAAATCCATCCATTGAAACCAAAAAATAATTTTTTTTGCAAACAAAAATGATTTTTTTTGGAAAAAATTGATTTTGTGGCAAAAAAAATTAATATTTGTGGCAAAAAATATTATTTTTCTTTGAAACATTGTTATGGCCTTAATACAAAAAACAAAACATACTAACTATTTACGTTAAAAAAATTTAAGCAATTAGACTTCATGTTTTCATTGTTTACATTTGACAGTATATGAAGTTAAATCTTCTTACGCGCAGGTTACATCTTTTTATGCGTGAGTTACATCTTCCTTTACACGAGTTACATTTGGACTTACCTTAACAAGTTACATTTTACATTGACCCAAGTTAGATTTTTCATCAATGTGAGTTACATTTTCTATAACATAAGTTACATCGCAACATAAAAGCTCTACTATTGAAACAAAAAAATCATTCTTTGCCAAACAAGGTAAAAAAATGATTTCTTTAGCAAAAAAGTGATTTAAAAAAAAAATTGGTAGAACATATTCACTATTTAAGTAAACACATGCTATTGAAACAAAAAAAACGAGTTTTTTGCAAGGGAAAAAATGGCGGAAAAATGATTTTTTTGCAAAAAAAATGATTTTTTGGCAAAAAAAAATGATTTTAAGTGAAAAAATTATTTATGGTCTTAATATTAAAAACAAAACATATTCACTATTTACGTAAAGTAATTGATCAATTAGACTCCTTGTTTCAAGGAAATCAATGTTTTATTTCTTATAGTTCGTATTAGACAAGTTACATTTGGACTTGCTTGCAGTTACATTTCCGATCAGCGTGAGTTACATTTCTTTACACGTGAGTTACATTACTCTGCTACTGAACACTGGAAAAACAAAAAATAAGTTACTGTTCACGCGTGAACAGTAACACGCATATTTTTGTCTGTGGGAGCAGCATGCTCACGGTGGGCTGCTCACTGTATAACAATAACAACTGTTAGTAGACATGTATAAACGGTGAAAAGTAGTTAGCGTCCTGTCCTACTGTTTATAATCCCACTATTAGCGGATTTAATTGTACTACGTACTGTATTTAATTGGTAACCTCTTTAATTTGTTGGGCTGCCCCATTTTCCATCACTTGAACATGTTCCGACCTGGGAAGGTTCCTTAATTTGTGTCTAGATTCCCACCATGTATATTAATTTATTAAGAAAAAGATGATGTCTTCGCTCTCCACTTATTTATTTTTTAATAAATACTCCGTATAATCCAAGATCATAGATTGTTTATATTTTATATAAATAAATGACTATCAACACAACATTAGTCCTTGCTTCCACAGTTCCACGCATTTCGTCAAAATCACTAACTAGAGAATATTACGCATAAATTTAGTCAATGCTTTCATGAATCTTGTCAACCTAATTAGTCCATTTGTGTAACAAATATTATGTATTCCTTATTCGAAGGAAGCCAATAAGAGTTTCAAAACCAAAAACATTTTGAAATTCTTAAATAAAACTATCATGTTTTTTATTCCCTAAATAGGAGTAAATTTTTGCCAAGTTTGGCATTACTAGGCTTTAAACATGACATTTTTTTCAAATTTGGCACATTACTCATATTCAAAAAATAAAAAACATGATAGTCTATTTTGAAATATCAAAGCTCTTTTACTCCTATTTAGGACAATTTTTGAAGAAAAAGTAATACGCATTGCATACTTAATATTCTTAAATTACTCTTGAAAATTGTGGTTTGCAGTTTTGCACGCAAATTTTAGTTTCGCACGCTATTAGTGTATCAACTTCTTCGATTAGTGGGAGGGGGCGTAATCCGGCATATACGGCAAATTACATCGAGTGAAATCTATATCACAACTGCTTGAGTGATACTATGTGCTACATAGTATAATGACTAACATAGGATTAGAGAATGTTTGCAAAAATTTTAAAAAAAAGTTTTTTGACTTTTGGCATAAGAAAAGTTGAAATTGATGTTTTTCAAGTTATGATTTCTGCGTAAAATAAACACTTAAAAGCTAAAAGTTGGATGCATGTGGACGGGTGTCTTAATGGAGTGTTTGCAAGAGCTTGTGCTTATCAAAAGTGATTTATTTAATAGATTGTTGGAAAAGTGATTTATAATAAAAGTATACGGTGTTTGTAAATAAAACTGATTTTAACTAAAAGGTAAAATTTGAAGTGTTTGATAAAAAAATGATAGTTGATGTAGTATATACTCAAAATACAAATATACCCTTGGCCAAATTAAACAGAGAATCCAAATAAAAAATTAATGGAAGAAGGCAAGCTCGGTGTGATAGCCTATACGGCTATACGGTACACCCGTTTGTACGGTGCTCACCGTACAACCGGGGACGGAGCCACCCCTCGAGGTGTGGTGTCAATTGACACCACTGAATATTCTTTTTTTTCATATATGGATATATATAAAAAATTCAAAATTTTAAAATTGACACCACTGAAAAATAAAAATTCTAGGGAGAACTATCAAATAAGCCCTCGAACTTTCATAAAAAGTGCAAATAAGCACTTTTACAGGAGGCTTTATCCGACTGTCGCCATTTGGGGCGGTTTCCGGTGTCATTTTTTGATGAAATTTTTTAATCATCTTCTTCATTAAGTCTAGTTTACCCATACCAAATTTAAGCTAAAAATTCAATCGAGAAGTCAGTCAAATGATTTTCTGAAAATATACAGCGCTGTCTAACTGCGCAGTTATCTTCAAAGACTCATTTGACTGCTTTCCCGATTGAATTTTTATCTGAAATTTGGTATGCGTAAACTAGACTTAATAAAGAAGATTTTCAAAAAAATTCATCAAAAAAGTCCACCTGAAACCACCCCAAATGGCGACAGCCGGACAAAGCTTTCTGAAAAAGGATTTATTTGCACTTTTTATGAAAGTTCGAGGGCTTATTTGATAGTTCTCCCAAAATTCTATGTGTAGTTATATGTAATCTTTCATAAATTATAAATTGACATCAATCCACCATTTAAAAAATGGGGGTCAATGTTAATTTTTATCATCTTTTTAATAGTGTAGAATAATTAGAATTATTTATTAGTCAGTATCCTGATTGTATTAGACAACTTATTTCTCTATTAATAGACTCTCACGGCTACCAGTCTGGTTAAGCCTGTTCATTATTCTCACATGGTATCAAGAGCCAAAATTATATCCTAATTTTTTTTCCTATGGCGTCGACATCCGCAGCATCTGCTCAACCTACCGCGCCGTCCACGACGGCAGCAACTCAAGAAATGGCAGCGCCCGTCACCGTGGCTGCGCCCTCTCCCGTGACTATGCCGACCACGTATTCTCTGGAATCGGCTTCGACTTCCATAACGTTCGGTTCCACCTCCACCCTGGTGC